AAAAGATTAGCGAGCCCAAAAAAGATAGTAGCACAAAAAATATAACTCTAGACTGATGCCACAATCGATGTAAATAATGACGATACTGCTCTAGAATTATCCAGGAAAAAGATAAAGGTGAGAAAGGATTGATCTTAGCTCAATTAAAAAATAAAACATAAAGAATCAAAGGTTTTCTGAATATTTTATTAAATAATTTAAATTTTTTGAGTAAATTTAGGATTCTTTAGAAGGGAGTTTCATGAGTTTTTTCAGTACTTTTATATGCTTATGTGGATGCTTTTATCATATAAACATATACTAGAGTTAGTATTAATCTTTAATTTATAATTTTTATGAAGTGTATCAATGATTAGAAGCAAACTTCATATTCTCTTTTGTATCGTTTTAGCATACTTTTAACCAACCATTTTGCCTTATTAGTTTTAAATATTCATCTTCATTGTATAACATTGTTTCAATATTTTTTACTTTTACAACACTGTACTTTCTCAAGTAAAGCTTGGTTTCATGTCAGTCTAAAAATATAAAAATTAAAATTAACTTTAAATTATATTTGTTTTCTATCAATTGAAATATCAACATGAAAATTTAAATTGGGTGTAGCCCATTTAAATAAACATTAAAGAAAATAAATAATCGTAATATTAAAGTTTAGAGATAAAAGTGAGCACAACTATTAAAGTGGAACTGAGGTTTAGTTAGAAAATAAGCCAAAAATACTTAATCATGGTATTTAACCACGTGCATTGCACGTGTATAAAACCTAGTTTAATCTAAATGCATGGCTTTTTGAGAACAAGCTCTCAAGGCAAAAACATCTCTATCAAGGTTCTTTACAAACACAATAGAAATTTAAATTACCAATGTATGCAATTATCACAACATTCAAAAAAAATATGATCTTAAAAGATATACTATAAACTCACACAACTAAACCTAACTATAATTTATCAATATACAGACACACTACTGCATCTATAAGACAAATATAACTACCATTTACAATACAGTTGAGTCGTGGCTACAAAAAGAAGATAGATAGAAACATTAACAATGAGTGTCCAAATCATAAATATCATAGAATGCAGATGACTTAGTACCAAGATTAAGTAATATCACTTTTTCATGAAAAAATATATCGAAATTAAATATTAACATTATAATTTAAGCCAATTTGATAATGAAAATTTTAGGTATTTAGTTTAAACTCTTCTGGGAAATGACGCAACCATAGCAAATATAATATTATTTGATGCAGTAGAAACTTTTATTGAATGCATAACAGAATAATTCATTACAGAAAAAAAGTAACTCCTAACTTTATTTAAGTAATAAATTAGAAATAAAAAGATTTTCTATATGAAATTAACATTTGTTCTCATTGAAACAGAAAAATAATCAAAGTCTGTATTTCTAAAAGTTTAACAACATTTGGAAATACACTTAGCTTCCTTGTGAAATTAGACGAGAAGATAAAAGATGAATGAGCCTAAGGAAAGATAAACGACGCAAGATATCCAGCTCCAGTCTAATGTCACAATCAATATAGACGATAAACACACTACTCTAGAATTGTCTAGGAAAAAAGATAAATGTGGAGAAAGACTGATCTCGGCTCAATAAAAAAAGTAAAATAGAATGAATGAAAGATAATATTTTCTAAATATTTTATATAATAATTTAATTTTTAAGTAAAATTAGAAATCTTCAAAACGAATTTCATGAACTTTTTAAAATTATTTTTATATGCTTATGTGCATGCTTTTATTATAAAAGTGTACGAGAGTTAGCATTAATCTTTAATTTATGATTTTTTATAAAGTCTATCAATGATTATGAGCAAACTTTATATTCTCTTTTGTGTTGTTTTAGCCCATTTTTAATCGATGGTATTGGTTTATTGGTTTTGATTCGTCTTCATTTTATAATGCTATTTTAAGTGTTTTTTTTACTTTTATAACACTATATTTCCTCATATCAAGCTTGGTGTCATGTCGGTCTAAATAATATTAAAATTTAAATATTTCGTGACAATTTAATTATCAGCATGAAACTTTAAATTGAGTGTAGCTCATTCAAACAAATGTCAAAGATGATAAATAATCACAATGCTGAAGCTTAGAAACAGATTAAGTGAGCAAAAAAATATCAAAGTAGAAATGAGAAGCAAATTGTAATAAAAAAGTAAACTAAAAATATTTAATCATAATATTTAACCATGTGTATTGCATATGTATAAAACTTAGTAAAATAGTAAAAGCATTATATACGATATCCAAATACTAATTAAGCGGATGAAATGGTGACTGAAACGTTTAGAAAGGTCTCGTTTATGGAAAACGACTATGAAATGTTTATTGTTGTTTTGTGGATCGAATTGACACGAAGTGTACACGAGTCCCTTGTGTGGTGATTACCGCTCGGTCCGCTCTACACTGTCAATAAAGGCAACCGCTAATTCGGTAAAAAATTAAATGCCTATTTATTCTACAATTATAAAAAAACCAAAATTATTACAGATAATAAATTTGTTTTTACAATCATTTTCAAATATCTTTTGTTATTCATATCATAAATTCATGTCCACTATTAGCATTCTTGTCATTATTCTTTGCGAGTAAACTATGTCCATGATCATTTGAGTAGAGTCAGTAGACCATAGTTATCCAATATTCAGATAGGATATTTGCGTAAAAACATGTTTCTTGCATTCGGATCCTCTCCAATTAGACGGTAATTGAGATGATTCAATTATCTCAGTCATTACCATTTATTTCCGTTTTAAGGGATAAGATAAAGCCAAATTTCGAAAATCTCAAAAGAGGTATTCAGAATAGTAGTTTTCAAGACAAATAGAGGATATAATGAAATCCTAGGTGGTCACATATTATTATCCCCTAAAATTGAAACAAATTGTTAGATTTGAATAATTGGACCTTCTCCAATTACTATCAAATTAAAGAAGATCTCCATCCAAGTTTTTTTTACGCTAGTACCTCACCAAAATTTTGAAATTTTGTAATTTCTTATAGAACTTTCTTTTTTTAATAACAATTTCTCAAATAGCATTGTACTTATGTTCTCAAGATACTATTTTAATATTTTCCTGATAATTTACGTAAACAATACATGATAGGATTGGTTTAATTACTTGAGAAACTAAAAAATGTTATTAATCCCAAAAAATATTTGACTTTCCCTAAAAACTTATATATAAGACAATTGCCAAAAACTCTTAGACAAATTAAAATATGAAATATAATAAATCACTTGCGAAATAAATAACAAGAAATAAGAATATATAACAAACATGTCTTGAGATAGATATTTACATTAAATTATTTATTGCTCTAGAGTTACAGTTACAATTTACCTTTCTAATACGATTTTTAATCTTGCTTGATATTATTCAAGTTATCCTCTTTTATGATATAGTAACTTTCCTAATATAAATAGTAAATTCCCGATTGGTAACTTTTTTTGGGTGAAAACCGTACATTTTCCTACTCGTTTTCTAAACTTTATCTGTTTTGATTGATATCTCGTTTTAGTAACCTTGGTCCATGATGGCTCTAGCCTCCAGGGGTTCTCAAGCAAATTATAAAGCTAGAAACTTTATTAGTTGGTGATAATAATACAACAGCAAAGGTGGTTGAGCCACAGCTATAATAACCTGTCCCCTCACCACTTATTAAAGAAGAAAAAGAGGGCATCTTACTATCTGTGCCTGAAAAATTTCATATTTTGTACATAATCACTCAAATTGTTATTTAATCCTCCTCTATAATTAGTTTCAAATTAGTCCATGTAACTTGCTACATTGTTTGATTTGAATAGAATATCCTAATTAATTTGACCTTTTGTGATGAATTCCTAGTTGTACTCTTCTGTTTAGGGCATGTTTGTTTACACGAAAGTAGTAAAGAAGTAACTGAAGTAGAGGAAGTTTTTCCTACTTCAAGCAAAAAATTATGTTTGTTTCTTCAAAAAGACTACTTCAGCTACTTCCATAAATGCAGATGTGACGTTTAGGTGACACTCATACTTCCTAAATTTTTCCCGCCCTTGAAAGCTTAGAAGTAGAGGGGAAATGGATAAAAAATAGGGTCCACTTAAATTAGAGATTTACCAAAGGCATATGATTATAAATAATATATATAAATTCTATCCAAACAAACAAATAAATAAAAGAAAATGATGAAGTATTATTTTCGCTACTTCTAAAAATATATGAAACAAACAAAAAAAATAGTATTTCTGCTACTTTCTACTTCATAATTAAGGAAGTTATATCTTCGATCCACTTCTTACTTCTAGTAGTTACGTCCCTCCAAACGGGGCCTTAAGTTCTATACTGGATTAATCATTAATCCAATCTCAGTTAGGAAATTGGAAGGTAAAACTAAGCTATTTTGTAATAATTAACATTAATTGATATGTCGCCAACGACAACATCAATTAATTGCAAGAAGATGAAAAAAGTTAGGGGTTTTCGCATATGCACCCGTCGTATCCTCAATATTTGAACCCCTTAAATATTGATATTTGCAAAATTTCCTCTAAAATGAGTATATTGGGTGTTTCCATTACTCTAATTTAAGAATGCTACTTTTTAAATAACCGTAATGTCAAAATTTCCAATAATTTCCAATATGTTTACGACAATTTCGGGTTAAAAAACTGAAATTAGTATGCGAAAGGGATAGGAAAAACAAAATTGAGAGAAGTTGGGGGCAATTTGATAAAAACCAAGATTTGAACATAATTTTACAACCATGGTATATGCAGAAAACCCCAAAAAAATTAAGTGACCAACATCTGAAATGTAAAAAAAAAAAAAAAAAAAAAAAAAAAAAAAAAAATACAAAAAAATAAAAAAAAAAAAAAAAAAAAAAAAAAAAAATGGAGATAGAATCCTTTAATATTTACCCCTTTTGAGCTCCGCAGTGAACTGTCAAAAGGTCTGTCACTGTTCTCTCGCTTCTTCCACCTCTCTTATAAATGCCTCTCTCTTTTCTCTCAATTCTCCCCTCTTCTCTCTCTCTCTCTCTCTCTCTTAGGGCACCATCGAGATCTCCTTTCAGGCTGCAGCCATGTCCTCGGGCCGATACATGGCGTATTCTCCTTCTCCCTCCACTGCTCCTCACTCTCCTCACATCTCGGGGATCCGAAACGCTACCAGTGTCCTCGCTGAGCAAGAAAAGTGAGATTCTTTTGCCCTAATTTTACTCTCTCTTTTGTTCGTTGCTCGATCTGTGACCGCCGGTCTTAATGTAGACTAGAGCTTCTTTTGGGGCTTTTATAACTTTTTTAATCTGTTGATCGTACTTAATTGTATGAGATCTGAATTATTTGATGAAATCATTGATGAATAATAGTTATAGGGTTTGAGATCTTCTCTGTTTTCTAATAATTGATTTTAGAAGGTTTTTATGCTTTTTTTGGTTTTGTTTAGATCGCGCTGGTACAGGGATGAAATTATTGATTCATTTCTTTAGTGGCTTGCTGTTTCTAGTCATTGTTCTTGATGTCTTGAGAGTGTTTGTGTTAGGGAGAAGATATTGTTGTATTTTAAGTGGATAAACTGAGCAAACAATTTATGGGTGCCTTGAGTGGGACATGAGCAATTTCATTTAATATGTACTCAAAATAAGCATTTTGATGTTATTTGGTTATTTTTGCTATTGGAATGTAGCAAAGAGATTTTTTTTATTAAAAAACTCTTGTTATCACCGATGCTTATATGCTTATAGATTTATGTTATCACATTCTTGTGGAGCTAGATTAAATTATCAAACACAATGTTTCTGGAGTTTTGGAATTTTTACATAAAGCATGTGATGCCATTTTGCTTATCTTGAAATTCTTTATGCTGAGAAGATGAGGGGGGGAGTTCATTTGCAGGTATCTTTCAGAGTTGTTGGCGGAGCGCCACAAGCTTAGTCCATTTATGCCAGTGCTTCCACACAGCTATCGCTTGCTGAACCAGGGTGAGATTTGCAATAATATATGGCTGTTTTCTTTTATTTTTACAATTTTTCGTGCTATGTTGAGTTCTTTCATATTGGCTAACATATGCAACTTGCATAAACGGATGGCAGCTTTACCTACCACCTTTGCCATGAGAAGATTTATTTGGAAGTGTGACCATTACTTTGTATGTTAAGTTTGTCTATGATGTCTAGTTTTCATATTTTTGGCTGTCTCCATTGGGTTCCACATCTGCAAAGGTATATTATTTTAAAAAGATCAATCATTCTGGAGGTTTGACAATCAGATTTAAAAGATGAACTAATTCTTATGGAGGTTTCGTGGGGATAGTTTGGTTTTAGTTGTCCTTGCTCCGAAATTCACCTTACGGAAGATATTATCCACTGTAAAAATATATAAAAAGTATATTGTTACTTTACAGAGATCTTTTTACTGAAGCAAGATTATTTAATAAAAGACTAATGATCAGTGCACATATCTATCTATTAGCCAAACATTCATATATTTCTCAACAAATGTATGCCGTGTGTTTGTGGCTTTGTTTTCTACAATTGCCATATTGGATACCCATGTCCATATTAGAGTATGCCACTTGTCTCATAGCCCACAAATCATAGATTAGAAGAAAGTTGGAAACACTGAAACAGTATTATTTACTACTCAAACTAGGTTTCTGGCTTGCCAAAGCAGACATACTATGAGTGGTCATGCACATTTCATTTATATCCATGTGCTATCTAATATTGGATAGTTACTACATTTTGGCTGCGAGTCAAAATGGAAATTCACAAACATGTAAAACAAGGAAGGGGGCTTTTTCTCCTTTAACACATTGCGATCTCAAGTCAGCCAACATCCTCTATTTCTGTCAGAAATGATAGGTTTTTTTTAGTCAATGGGGATACAGCTCTTTTTTCAGCGAGTCCAGAAAAACCCTGTCATATTGATCTTTATCTTGTATTTTTCTTAGTTTCTAATAAAGACCGATATCAACTGTCCAAATTAACCATTTATCACCAGTTTCTATGTTTCCAGCACACCTTTTCTGTATGTGGAAATGTACGAGCTCGGGACCCTAGAATTCTAAATTTGACATAGTAATAGCAATGGAAGGACATCAGTTGTCAGGGAGATGATGGTTAGATGATTTTTAGATCTAGTTGAAGCAGTTTGCTATACTATTTGGTCAGGTTTGATCAGGTTGTATTTGATTGGTAGGGCGTAGAGATTCAAAGAGGTCTCACCACTATTCTTCTAGTTCCTTTGAAGTTGCAAGAGCCTATACATATAATTGAATTAAATGTGGATAGCACGAAAATAGTCACTTTTTTGTGAAATATCAAACTGGGCATTCAAAACATTGCATAACATTAGGGATGTAAATTGTAAATAGCTGCCACTAAGCCAGTCCAGATTCTACATCGTATCTGTATTTTGATAGTTATGGATATATGTATGTATTCTATTTAACATTCTACACGGATACGATTAGAGTTAACTATCATAGTCATCTAAATAAATATTCTAAGCTATACCGTAATATAAAAGAACATGTAGTGAAGTCTCAGTGTAAAATAAAGGACAACATTATGCATTAGAACTGTAGGTTGAGCCCCCTTTTTTCCGTTTAAAGCACTAACTATAGTCTATAGTATTCTCTTAGCATCTGAATCTTATGTAAGAATCTGAATTTGTTTTATCAAATGCAACTAGCAAGGCTAGTACATGGGAAGTGTTTGAATTTATATGCATATGTGCCATAAGAAAACTTATAGAAATAAGGTAATACCACCATCTATGCCATATCCTTTCACTTTGCACACCTACTAAACATATATGAAATTAATGAAATTTAGGCTAGTCTTTGAACATTTAAATACGCCAAAGGGTCCTTATATTATTGAATTTCATTAGTTCCAAAGAAGATATGGACGATATCTAGCATGTTAACCTAGATACCAATTATGAGTATGTCTACTCATATTTGGGACTGAGGTCAAGAATCCGTCTAGGTTGCGTCTATGAGATGATTCTTCATACACTTTGTTCTTGTTGCTAAATGTTACTGTTGGAGGAATATTGGAAACACATATATGGAATTTTCTAATTGCTACAGCAGGGATATTCATTCTAGGGACTATTTCTTGCCTACCAGATGCATTATGAGTAACTGATGTGCGCCTTCATCTGCATATGCTTTCCAAGCTGACCTAGCATTCCTAAGATCTTTGTAGGTATTGCACGTAGCTATAAGTGAGGATGGAATTTCATGCGACACAAGTTAACCAGGGAAAGGGGGCTTGTTCCATGAACTTTTTCTCATTATGTCAGGCCCGAAAACATTCTCTCTTTCTGTTAGAGACATCAAAGTTTTATTTTCAGCCAGTGGAGATGCAATGCTTTTTTAGTAGCTGTCAAGAAAAAAGGCTTCTTTTGTGCTTGTATTCCAATATTCTTCCTTTTTCTGAAAAAGATCCATGGAAGTTTTCAGAAAGTTCATTTATGTAAATGAGATCACTATTTTCCTTGGCTTCTTTGTAGTTCTCACACACTTAAAAGCAATGTTTTAAATATCAACCGATAAACCGATATTATCGGCAATTTATCGGTTTTGGGGCCTTCCGTTATGATAAGTTCGATTTTAAATTGATTATCATTTGGATGTTTATCCCGATAATGTGGCGATAAAGCGAGTCATCAACCGATATTGTTGACTCAAAAATCGGAATTATCAGCCTTTGATTTAAGTTTTGATTTTGGGCAACGGGCACTTATTCAGTGCACTTTAAACCCAACTCGACCCGAGTTTCTACCACTGGTGAGTGATGCTAAACATAATTATTTACATTTTGGTATATTTATATTTCATTAAGTATGGTTAGATTATATTTTAGAATATTATATTATGTATATCACCATTCGGTAATGTCGCTCTGATAAATACTACTTATTCCCGATATATCCTTGATATCCACTAATCGATATGGATTTTGACTGTCCAATAAATCCCCGATAACCGATATTTAAAACCTTGCTTAAAAGTGAAGGTCATTGAAACTCAGGACCCTTGGATTCAAATACGTGCAATCAAAGAACAATAAAATTCGATAGAATGATTGACTATGTGTCAATATAGCTGTTTGCAAGACAGTGAAAAGTGACTTTATGTGTCTGGGAATATTCAAGAAAAACAGTTTGATAACATGGTTCAAGATGAGGGCATAGGGGGTTATGTATTTGAGATGAAATATAGGACAATTTTTTTGTACTGTTAGGACCTTTACCAATTTCCTGAATGTTGACTATGTATGTTTCTAGTGTTCTACATTTGCGTGCATGCAAAAGGTTGTGAGCTGCTGGCATAGGAACTAAGATGATTCATTATGAACCTATGCGTCTAATGGTTGAAAAGAGAGTTTTCAGAAAACAAAACAAATTTTGAACTACATCTTTCTTTCTTTCTTTCTTTTTTTTTTTTTTGAGCAATGGCTTCATATAGCCGGTGAGAGGACTGTTAATTTTTTTCTTTCTTTTCCATATTGGTCGTTTTGTCTTGAAAAGTTTTGGTCTGTTGCAAGAGAGTAATTAATAGTTGGTAAAAAAACTCTGATTTGATACTTTCCTTTTTTATAAATATTTGTTTGCTGTTGTGGTATGATTAGTCGCCCTGCAGTCTATGCACCTGTTGGGTGGCATGATGAAAGTCTTATGTACCTTCTAGTTAATTCAAGAGGGCCTTGTCCTTCCTCATCCACAGGATTCACTAATAAGCATGAACCTGTTGATCTGCCTTTAGTAAATTGGCTGACCAAATTAATACCTGATGCTTAACTTTATCCTTCAACACCCAGAGGATCCACCAAAATGCACGAATCTGTTGATCTGCCTTTTAGTCTATTGGCTGACAAAATCAATACTTCACACTCAACATTATATTAAGCCTCTGCCAGGTCTTCCTCGAATATATGGGCTGATTGGCACTTTGGTTTGGCTCTGCAACATGGTTTAAGACTTTAAGTTGATGTTTTATGCATTTAGCACTGATAGAATTGTTCGTTACGTCTTAAAATGTATATTCTATATGCACAACATATTTCTAGCCTCAAGTATACTGATGAGTATGCTCGTTTACATTAACTTGTGTAAATATGGGTGCGTTATTTTGCTATTGCTTTTATGTCTTTTCTTATAATGTCAACCACGTAATAATATGAAATGTACTTTGCAAGTAATCCCACTTTATGTTATTCTACTTAGAGATTTTAGTTAATGGATAATTGCCTGATTTGTATGCTAATCATTAACTCGCCATTTTAGTTAACCAATATCTACCCGTTTACAGCTGAGTGCTGACTAATCTCTAACAAATGCTAATCGGTACGTCTTTTATGCTTGAAATTGACATTTTTGAGCAGAAATTTTGCGTGTAACTACACTGTTGGGGAATGCATCTCTTTTAGATCAAAGTGGGCTTGAACAAGGTAGCCCCTTGACTACTGGTGGATTATTTTCAAATGGAGCAGCAGCTGATCTGAATGGGTGGGCATCGCCATTTCAATCAGAAGTATGGATACTAACCATTAACATAACTTCTCTTTGCATCTAATTTTACTACTCGAAGAAGGGTTTGAGAAGTAGTCCTGCACAGGTTCATGCTAACTTGACTCAACTACAGTTAGAATGCTTTGCATTCCTGACTTCTTTTTTACACTTCATGCTAACTTTAGGGTACTGCTGGAGCGTTTACTGTCTTTTTGGTTAGACGATGTTATTTTGACTATCCAAGGGATTGTCTTTGGACTTTTTGCTCCATCTTTGTTAGTGTCACGTTCCACATGGATTATATGCGTATGAGGTTGCAGTATTTACTAACTCAGTAAACTAACTTCTTCCTCTCTGTTATTAGTTCTAACTGGTAATATGTGAGTGCCTACTTTCTTTCTCAAATTATCCTCTTCAACTTTGAAAGGTGAGCCTCGTCCCAAATTTCTTGTCGTTTTTTCTGCAATGATGTTCCAGCGTCTGGTAACATACTTATTTTCACTTATAAGTACTTCTTCACTTATAAGGTGCCAAGATTATGTTTGGTAAGGGTCTACTTATTACTTATTTTAACTTGTAAGTAGGAAAAAAATAAGTTGGTATTCTCCAACTTATTTTTTGGCTACTTGTAAGTACATTTACTTACTGATATTAAAAGCTATATTGTCCTCTAACAATATAAATAAAATTAAGCAATAAGTAACTTATAAGGAATCATAAAATTAGTAGCCAAACATGCCCATAATGAGTCACTACCATTTATTGCCTCTATAAATGACAAACATGGAGTTGTGTCAATCCTTTAATGCGTACACAACCCACTATATCATTGAAATTGCAGTTTGCTAGAGCCCCTCCTATTTTATTACTAGTACATAAAATTTTGTTATTGTATTGATTAATTAATCTCTGTACCTTCTGGTAGTACTGACAGCATGTTTATTCTGATTGTGATTTTATGAACATAAAATTCTATGTGATGATGTCTGTTCAATTTGAAAATTTGTGTGAATTGAATACTCAATTATTACCTAAATTGTGCATGCCCTGGATTGATTTAAATTATCTATATTTTTTTAACAACATTGAAACTGTCATCCAGAGGTTGGGGTTCTTACAACCTTCATCGGCAACTAGTTGGCTTGGTTCGCAGGGTAGCTCCTCGAGTCTTGTCGTCAAGAAAACAATGAGGGTTGATATTCCTGTAGACAAGTATCCTTCTGTATGTAACATTTTACTTGACTTTGATCTTTTTACTTGTATTACAAGATGACTTATCTCTCTTTCAAGTGTCTTATGCAGTTTAACTTTGTTGGTCGACTCCTTGGTCCTAGAGGAAACTCCCTTAAGCGAGTTGAAGCAAGTACTGACTGTCGTGTCCTGATCAGGGGGCGTGGCAGCATCAAGGATCCAACTCGGGTAATTTATATTCTAATCACCCAGGGAAATAACTCGTGATAAAGAGAAGATGCGTTTTGATTAAAAACCCCGTGCTCGGAATAATATATGTTTCTGGTGAATGATTGTGTTAGACCCTAGAGAGGGGGTGATTAGGGTCTTATGCTAATCTAATTCGATTTTATACCAATTTAAAAACTTTATTGATTAATTAAATATTGCAAGAGATATATAGGCCAGAATGTAAAATACAAGCACAAAATAAATGTGCACAAGGCAAACTCAAAACACAAGATATGATTACGGAGTTCGGTCCCCACGACCTACGTCTCCGCTCCTCACCTTAAGGAGATCTCCACTATCACGACACACCCGGTTTGGAAGCCGAAACTTTTTTACACACTCGGTTATCAAGTCAACCGACAACTCTCACAAAAATCTCACAATGTACATACACAAGCTACAACCTCAAGTGTTGGTCCTCACGTATCGACTCCCTCAAGTGCTCGGAATTATCACCTCTCACTAGGCCACCAACGCCACTCCTCTTGGTATCGACTCCGTCCTCACCACACACTCCTCTCGGTGTACAAGTGTATTACAAGTGATCTCACGATAAGCACAATATAATAATGGTTGTTCTCTACACTTGACGAGAACTCAATTAAGCTCACTCTCACTAAATCACACACCACTACCCAACAATATATTATATGAGATATAACAAGCTCAATAAGGGTGCGTGATAAATGAGTTTAAATAAAATCTAACTCAATAAGAACTAGCAATAAGATTAATAAGAAATAAATGCTAGAAAGTTGAGTTAGGAAAACTTCTCTACAAAGAAAGGATGATTGGATATTGAGGATGAACTCCTCAACAAATGATGTAAGCTTCTCTTTGTAAAACAAACTCTTTTTCAAACCAAACTTGAAACAAGGCTTAAACACCTCTTAAACACAAACTAAACTCTTTCAAAACTTGATTAAGGAATCTTCTTGGTAAAGAGAAGAATTCAGAGCATATGGGTATATATAGCATCTCAATACATCAGCTAAAATCCAAAGAAAAAGACCAAAAAACCACAAACACACAAAACAGAGAACTAGTCATTACTGTGCAACGACTCTCTGATAAGTCGACTTATGAGTCGACTCATGAGTCGGCTTATATGAGTCGACTCAGCAGACGAAGAAACATAACTCCGCTGCACTTCGTGAGTCGACTCATGAATCGACTCATGAGTTAAGTCGACTAAACGTGTACAGACCAAAAATGCACAGGAAAACTGAACTTTAAACCATGTTTAAAAATATCAAATAAATTCTAAAAATTGTAAGATTTGGGGAATAGTTTATAAACATATAAATGAGCATGTTTCAAAAGAAATTTTCCAAAAGTGATTCTCCGTTTGTAAAATCTCTTAGTTTTGCAAAAACATGTAAAACGAGTATATAATATTCTTAGTTTTGGACAATTGAGATAAACAAGGATATGAAACATTTTCAAATGAATTTATAGACTCAACAATAGTTGTATACAGTAAAAATTAAGTCTATACACTGATATCTCAGTATATTGTCAAAATCACATTAAAACCAAATGTGTGTGTTATGTGGATATTGAGCTTGAGATATATTCACACAATATAAAGTCCTATTCTAGTTGTACCAAGTTGATATCCATGAGAAGCTAAATCTTGGATCTGACTTGAAATGAATAAGCTTCGTTATAAATGTGGCTCCTGAGTTACTCAACCTGGAACAAAACAAATACTGAAAAACATATTATAAATTGTTTGCAAAATCATCAAAACAAGATTCAAAAGTAGGCTCATATACATGAGTCCTAACAGATTGTTCATGTAAGCATAGTTTGCATGGGCATCTTCTTATACAACTCAAGTAAAATATAGACACTAAATGAAATCTCAGAAACTATCTATTAGTCACTTGTGATTGAAGTTTTTGCAAGTATGTCCTGGAAATCTATTGTTTAGCAGTATTATGTGGTCACATTTGTCATTAACGAAGTGAACAAAGTCCTTATATTTGGAGAAGATAATTACTATAAACGGATAAATATAGAATCAGCCCCACAACTCCTACCTGAACTAAGCTCATTGAGTTAGAACAACAGGAAATATATTAAGAGGAGAAAGGATTAGAATAAAATAAGGATGTGCAGAGATTGTCTGATATTAGAAGTGAGAAGGAGCACGCTTTCATGATGGCTTTCTTGAAGCTTCTCAAGGTCTCAATTATTGACTACTATGTAAATTGTGAGATAATTGGGGTTCATACAGCCCCCTTTCTTTAGAAAGTTTCTTGAAATTATTAATGATACCCTTCTCTATTTGTCATGTTCTTTTGATTTAGCTCTAAGTTATGTACATTGGTTCTGTGGTTTTTTGCAAATCCTTTTGTCATTCTTGTTGTACTCTGATGGTCCAGTTATTGTTTAAAGGTGTGCATGCATACATGCATGCATGCAAGATATAATTTAAGAAATTATTCGAACTTTAGTTGTTAGAGACGATGTCAATTCTATAATTTTGGAGACAAATTGAGAAATACAGTGCTATTATTGCTAATGCTGCAATCCCGTACAGGAGGATATGATGAGAGGGAAACCAGGGTATGAGCACTTGAACGAACCCCTTCACATTCTGGTAGAGGCAGAGTTACCAGTTGATATTATTGATACCCGTTTGATGCAAGCCCGCGAGATCTTGGAAGATTTGCTCAAGCCTGTGGTATTACTTCATTCTCCAAATTTCACCACATTCTACAAAACAAAATTATCCTATTTATATTCTTCCCTTTATGTACAGGATGAGTCCCAAGATTTTTTCAAAAAACAACAGCTGAGAGAGCTAGCTATGCTTAACGGTACCCTTCGTGAGGAAGGGTCAAGCATGTCTGGCTCAGTATCCCCCTTCAACAATAACCTCGGAATGAAGAGAGCCAAAACAAGGGGGTAACTTGATTATCTTCATTCAGTATGATCGATCCATATTTTTGGGGTTTCCCCAGTAAAAGCCACTTCCCTGGTTTATATCGGGGCACTGGACCAAGAAGAGTCGTAACTAGATTTATGTCTGAAGTGTGTCTGCTACTGGGGAATTGATATTACTAAGGAATATCGCCAGTGAGCCAGTTTGCGGTCTTGTTGTGTTTGGCTGTCTGCTTTAGTGCGTTGGGGTCAGGGATGTATTTGTGGTAGTAATGCAATAATTGTGGTTATGCTCAAGTTTTGTTTAGTTGTCGTGGGAGTTTGTATAGAAAACATAGATGTATTGTTGTATGACTGTGAGAGGGCGCTCCCCTGGAGCTGGTCCGGGTAGGAGTGCTTTGAACTGAAACCTATTTAAGTTTTGGTATGCTGGAAATAATTAATGTTGGTCGCTTGTTTTCCCTGTTCCTTTTTCTTTGAATATGTCTAATGTCAGATTATAAGTTTCCAAAGCTGTAAGGAACTGGTGCTCTGGTTCTTTGCAATCAGGTTGATCATTGTCCCAGCACTGCCAGGAAATTTTAGCTGAACTTTGTTTGTGGCATTCTAGCTTGTACTCCTTTTTCCAGGAAATTATGTTTCTTTGTAGCTTGGAATTTATGTACAGTTGCATTACATGTTGTATTGCACTCCTGTTTGTTTTGGTTTGTCGTCTGAAGTGTTTGTGTAATTGTTTTTTGTTACGTAACTTTCTTAGCGTAGTCCTATGTATCTTCTTGTCCTACTGCAGTGTGAATGTTGTTTTTCATCAAGTAGGAAAGTTGCCTGCGTCTTAACATTTTCTTTATGTAACCTATTTGATACTTGTTTGCATTTATTTGCTTTCGTGCTAGTACCCTTGATCATCTGTTGTGACATTGTCATTTATTGGCTTGCTGTTGCTCTCGGCTAAATGTTTTTACTTATATTGATTGCATTTGCTTGATCATATGATTGTCAGAAAACAGTTGTAACCTCAACATCTGAGATTTTGGTATCATGTGATGTTTGAGATGTGACATTGTGTGGGATGTAATCTAAGAAACTTCCATGAGATCCTTTCAAAATGAGTGGTCCATATTATTAATAATTTCTTGAGGAAATTATTAGCAAATATCATACGCGGATTCATTCAAGTTGCATATACAAGCGCGTGTATCCTACTTCCCTACCTGCAAACCCTGGCAACATATGGCAATAGAACCAAATCATAACATTAAATCAAACCCCCACAACTAGCTAAAAAGAATTATAACCTCAACTAATTCTTCTTTCGCCAAAAAAAAACATAAATCAACTACACAATATAAATTTGCAAGCAGCAGCAACAAGCCCAGCAAACCCAGCAAGGCAAAAAGCAACAGCATTCCTCTTCATCCACCTCACCGGCCTCCACCCTCCATCCACACTCGAGCTCTTCATCCTCTTCGTCCCCAGTTGCAACTCCTTGGACAGATCAAAGCTCGATCCCTTCATTCTCAGCTCCTGCACCGTCCGCGCCAGTGTTCTTCCATCGCTCCTCTCCCTCTGCAGTGCCCTCATCACCTTCCAGTACATCGATACCTTAAACTGCACCAGCGGCGGCGGGATTTAGTCCATTATTAAAAGTAAAAGCGTGAACGATAAACTAAAAACAACTCGTAAGCTTCTTGTATTTGGAATCTGCATTGACAATTTTACCATTTTACCACCTTCTTTAGACTTTAGTAGGATCCTACCGTGACGCAAGGGCGCGTCAAAAGGAGAAAACAGAAGTAAATAAAAATATGGGTCAAAAAAGTTTAGCAAAGAGTTTAAATTCGGGACATCAAAGCTAAAACTTTTACAAATCTTTGGAAGACAAAGTTCGGGCATCCGGATGAGTTAAGTACTGTGTGAGTTCTGCGGGGCGCTTTTAGGGTCAATGACAACTTATTAGAGACATCAGAGCAAGAAATGAGGCAAACCCTCTGCGTATTTTAGGTGCAAATGGCCCTAAAAAAACGTCTAACAATGAAGCGGATAATTAATGAGAGTGGTGTTTTAGACCCGCCACCGACCTGCACCGCGATGATGAGCACGAGCGACGTCAGCGCGGACAGGCAGAGCGGGACCCACCAGTTCTTGCAGGCCCCCATCTGGGTCTGCGCCTGGCCCGTGACGGAGGAGGAGGTGAAGAGGAGGGTTAAGGAGAGGGCGTGGAACGCGAAGAAGAGGGAGGACAGGTGGAACGCGTCGCGCTTGAGGCCGTCGAGCCGGGTCTCTTTGAGGTTGACGGCGCGGGAGATCTGGGATTCCTGGCGCTGGAACAGCTTGAGGAGGAGGAGGTGGCCTGGGCTCAGCGAGATCTCGGTTAGTGGGTGGGACGTTAGAGCTCCTTGAGCTTGGGATGGGCTCTCGCCGGTCTCCTCGGAGTCGACAGGGGATCTCGACGACTGCTGGCGTTTCGGCTGCCTCCGCCATTCGACGCTAGCAGCGTAGATGGGGAGGAGGAGGTCAGGAGCAGGAAATGGAAAGGGGGATTTTGGAGTTGAAAATGAGGAAAATGGAAAGAAAATCCTTAGAAGGGAGAGATACTTGAGCGGGGGGGAGTTGTAACGGTCGGATTTTGGGGGATTGGGATTTGGGGCGAACGGTCAGATTTCGAGGGCAGAAAGGGAATTTCCTTTTGTTAATCTTCAGAAACCGCCGCCTGGTAATTAATTAGGATGATGATATAAAGTTGTGAGCAAAAAATTGAAAGTATAGCTTCTAGAGGATTTCGTGCATAAATATACATGTTTAAAACGGAAAAAGGTATTAAGCAACGGCGTGGATTAATAAACCAACTGAAACCAGAAGCGACGGAAAATTCTTCTTAGGCTTCAACACTAACACTCTCAAATAAATGGATTAATACGTACTATTGCATGATTATGACGCAGTGAGGCAAACGCTTGCATCTTTCCTCAGTCGCTTTGCCAATAAGTCCCATCGAACTAAACTTCTTTTTTATAAACCCTTCTTTTTCCAGAAACAAGAATGTCGCCTTATTCCTTCATTTACTCTACATATGAAGCTTTAAAATAACATCTGCACAAAATTACACTACAAGTTTATTTGATGAGTTGCGAATCCTAAATCGTTTCTGTCAAATAAAATTTTGCAAATTAGCAGAAAACATGACTTGGTAAACATCTTATGTTTAATGATACTTGATGATTATATATACAAAGAAAAACGTTAGGGAAAGGCTCACTCGCACATACCACACGCCCAAAATCTAGTCACAAGGGTGGGAAATGCCAAGAAAAAGGAAGTCATGAAAAGAAAGAAACCACAACCGAGTTGTTCACGAGAGTAACGTTACGAAGAAGGCTTTTGGCACTGTAACGATACATATCTCCAAAGATCCCAAGAGTCAATTTCACAAAATTATTAGTTAACACAAAATAAGTAAGCACAAAAAAACAAAAACAAAAAAAAGATACATATTTTTGATAATATATGGATCTATACGTGACACATTTGTCATTAAAACAGCTAATCGAAAAGATCACAACATTTTCATCTATGATTAGGAGGAAGCTGCCAACTTCTTCTTTGGTGGCGGGTTTCCTCCAGCGATGAGCACATATGAGTAGAAACAAAGCATTACAGCGCTGCAACAAGATAAAAGATAACTTAGTAAAGTATCTCAATAATATTGTCCACAATAGGACCTGTAAATTAAATAAACACAGATCATATGAATTAAACTTTGATCTTTCTACTTCTCAGATGTCAAGGTGTGGAAATAGAAACCTTTTCTCATGTATGGACAAAATTAGCACTTAAACACCTCAAGTTACACCAACTTTTCACTTATATACCATTGTATTTCATCGCACTTTTAAACCCTAATTTTTTTTTGAAATGGCATGCTAGTATCCTCTATTAGATAATTGTTACTCCCTAAAAAACTGTCCATGTGACTATCACATGATATATTTAGGACTTTATACCCTTGACTTTTTGGAAAAGACAAAGTGGAGCTGTTTATTTAACCGGCGGTATTATCGTCTTTTTTACCAAAAATTTACAACTGTTCAATAAGTTCAACAACGGAGTAAACTTTAGGGTACTACTGCGACGTACAACTGAGGGTATATAAGTGGAAGGAAAGTGAAACTTTAAGGTATTTGTGTGCCAATTAGCCTCCATTTTTAATCATAAGATAGAGAAGTCTGAAGACCACAATTGAACTACAGTTGTGCATTTTCGATTATAAGTTGTGATGTCTCGGTAAAATATCCATTCAAACATGAGTAGATTGTGGGAGAGGAGCACCTCATGGCAACATAAAATACAGCGGGAAAAGCTTTCTTGGTCTGCAAGAAGAAAATAGATGTTCAGTAAGCATAAGAATCAAATAATCTGCAAGCCTTCTTCAAATAGTTTATTGTCGTATTTCTCACCAAGGAGTACGCTTTGAGATGCTTCCAGACAAGAGTTGCAGCTAAGGCTGAAAAACCAAATAAAGATAATAATTTAACTCACTTCTTAGAAGATTCACAATACAATCATTAAAATGTAGTTATATTTCACTGTTTCATAGCGTGAGGAATTGTTTGATAACAGAAAACAAAAGTCGTGTACCTGCTTGCCCTAACATGAATGGTAAGCTGGATAACCCTTGTCTCCAGACTTTTAGACTTATGAATCCCATGGCCAGTATAGCACCTCCCAAAACCCCATTTGTAGTTAGACTTGCAGGATTTCTGGAGAAAAGGAACCCGAAAAGCCCACCACCAAGTACAATCCCACCTGTTCCAGAGGCGTTTGTGATTGTAAGTTATGATATTGCCAACTGAAATTCTTGAAGCTGCTTGTTTTAAAATCATAGAAAGCATTCATGAAATCTATTGCAAATCAGATACAACTCTTATTCTTGTTGTTCTTGCTGGCGTTTTGGTGGAGGCAAGGAAGGTATTATTATCATTATTGTTATTATTTATTCTTTTTTTATGTGCATCATAGTCTGTCATAACACTAGGACAGAGAATCAGGAAGCAGATTAACCTTTCGTGGATATTGATATTATGATAACGTTTAGAATCAGAAGGAAACCATAGTGGGGTTTATCATAATCAGGATCAAAACAAAACCAATAATTTACATGAGAAAAATCATTAACAATAGGGAATATGTGTCAAATACTAAAAAGGAACTGCTGCCATTTTTAATTATTCATTGCCGTGATGGTTGACATCAAACACTGAACAAGACACTGAATGAACTAATAAGCAAAACTTCAAATGACAACTAGGATACATAAATTTAGTTCGAAAAGAACAAGAATGAACTAGACCTTCCCAAACTAGTGATCTATGCTTCAAAATACTCTGATAAACGATGCACAAATAGACAAAGATGAAGGGTGCATGCAACATAAACCAACACAGTGCATGCAGATATGCATATTTACACCTACAATCACTTGTCAAACACCTCATGTGCATGTATGCAATAGGGGAATCATGCTAGTGCACACACAGAGGGACAGGGAGTATAATTCTACCACATACTTACCGAAGGGGATGCCCAAACAAAAATCATGGATTTTTGCATATTTCTTTGGGTTAAGATTTTGTTCTTCTATGGGCAAATTCATTTCTGCCCCTCCATTAGCTTTCTCTGCAGTAGGGTATGATTTCATAGGTTCATCTGTATGTTGCTTTGCTTGTTCCTCAGTATAATGTAGAGAAGTATTGGCGTCAAAACCAGGAGTTGTCGTACTACTTTCACTGAGGCACATAGAAACTGAGAGCTGGGGAAATTTTAACAAAAAAATTAGCCAGTTAAGACGACAATATATTAGCAGGAAGAATAAATATTTCTGCCGAACAAAAGGTCATTTTTTATCCCATTTTTAATGATTTCTTTCCAGTCAAATACTGCATGCTATATTACAAACCTACATAACAGTCATCCAACCATGTTCTGCAGCATGAACCTTGATAAAGCATTGAATGTCTCTTAGCCAGCAATGGTATATCTTGATCACAACATTGTGTTTCACTGCAATACTTTTGTATTGCTTGTTGTTTCATGCCAAAACAAATAGGAATAAAAATGTTCACAAGCCTCATTATATATAGAACGAAAGAAGGAAATTTTTTAATTTTGAGATAACATTGATTTATTATATCACCTAGAAACAAAGCTTGTACATTATGGCTAACGAAGATTTGAAAGATGATAAATAGTAAATTAAAGAAGAAAGATATAGCGACCTTTTCTATTTAATTCTGCGCTACATACATACAATAAAGAATATGGGTACCTTGGTATGAAGGGCCAATTTTGACACTTGGTAGTGAGGTGGCCCATTCTCATCCACTCATTTTCAAGGAGGGGACCATCTTCAAATGGGAACTACTCAAATAAGTGGATTAGAATGAGTCACCTCACTACCAAGGACCAACTTTGTCCTTAATACCAAAGATACACATTTTACTCTCACACACACACTAAGACAATGAAAGAAATATAAAAAGCAATTTTCTTAAATTTTTAATTTGTCAACAAATATCTTTCAGTTTAGCATGACATGTGTCACAGAGCAACACTATCCAATAGAAAGTAACTGCATTAACATTGCCAAACAATTGTTGGCCCTTTTGTTTTGATGATGATTTACCAAATAATTTATAGCTAATTTGTTTCCTAGTGGTTGTGGCTTGTTTCTTTTTACAGGATATTCATATATGAAGAAAAGTCATTCATATCAGAGTTAAAGATTCAAGATCAAGTTGTGTACGCAATCACTTGGGTATATTAGTAGTTTTGTAACGTATATTGTGTGAATATATTTCAAGCTCAATATATATATACACACACAATTTTGATTTTTATTACAAAATGAGTTTATTTGAGAAAACAATGCAATATTGGTTTATTAATCTTTTTTACATTACATTCATGTTTTATAACGTTTATAAAAACATTTCATAAAGTTTTCACATATTCTTACATGTCAAACTTTATTTTCAAGATTCATCAAAAACATGTATTAATGTACACTTTACAAAAATAATGATATTTTACAAATGGTAAGTGCAATTCTAAAATTTCTTTTTGTAACATGTTCATATTCATATTTATAAACTTTTTCCAAAGTTTTATATTTTTTGGAATTTATTTACTATTTTTAAAAGAGGTTTAAAAATCAGATTTACAGTTTGTTTCTCGCTACTAACCTGTTATCAGTCGACTAATGGATTTTATCAGTCGACTAATAAACTCGTCTGGAAAGTGCTAAAAGTTTCTGTTTCTACGACTGACGTTCTATCAGTCGACTGATAGTCCTTCAGTCGACTGATAAGTTCTTTTGGTCGACCGACGAGCTACAAACCACTTACAACGGTCAGCTCATCAGTCGACTGATAAGCTTCCAATGGTTAGTTTTTTCAGACTTTTGTATTTTTGTCTTTTTGCTGGGTTTTCTTGGTTTTTGGGTTTTGGTTTTCATCCTATAAATACGTCGCACTATTTCAGTTCTGAAGGATATCTAAGAGGGTTTACACAAGAGTTTTTAAAGGGTTTTAAAGTTTGTTTCTTCTCAAGTTTGAGTTTGGTGTTTGTTTACAAAAAAAGGAGCTTACATTGTCAATTGAGGAATTCATCCTCAATCAATTTCATCATTTCCTTTGTGTTTATAGAGAAGTTTTTCTAACTCATTTATCTAACATTTTGTTATTAATTTTTATATTCATATTATTGCTAGTTTGTTATTTGAGATAGATTTTATTAAACTCATTTTATCACACACATCCCTTTTTGAGCTTTTAGTATTTCATACATTATATATTGGGTTGTGGGATTGTGATATTGTGAGAGTGAGCTTTCATTGTGTTCTTATTTATTGTAAAGAACAAATATTTTATTTGAGCCTTATTGTGAGTTACACATTATATTACACTTGTACACCGAAAGGAGTGTGGTGAGAGACGGGGTCGAATCCAAGAGGAGTGACATCGGTAGTAAAGCCTAGAGAGAGATCGTAATTCCGAGCACTTGAGGAGGACACGGGCTAGACCAACACTTAGAAGGTGTAGAGTGTGTTTACATTGTGTGTTGTAAACGTTTGTCAGTGAGCGTTGAAAACCGATTGTGGACGTTTTTGGGTGAACGTTGAAAATCCATTTGTGATAATGGATTCTCCCCAAGAGTGGGGAGCGGAGACGTAGGTCGGAAGGACCAAACTCCGTGATCATGTTATTGTGTTTGGTTTGCTCTTTGTGTCCACTATTTGTTTATATTGTTTCTTGTTTATTTTTATCATTTGCATATATATCATTGCTTTAATTCAATCGAATATCTATCTTGTTAGGATATATTTGTTAATAAGTTTTAATTGGCATTAATATCGAATTAGATTAGAATTATTTTTTCTTTTTTTGATTCATTTTTTATGTGAACGATGTGTTTGTGCTTTATGAGATCATTGTAAAACACTCTTTTGATGATATTTATGTATTAGTGCTTACGGATCATCAATTAGTGCTTTATAATGTATTATTTATGTGGTTGATCAAATTTGTTCAAGAAAGATTCTCTTTTGTTGATCAAACGTCTTTTTATTTATCATACTTTGTTTTAAGTTTAAATATGAGAGGTTTATTTTTTTAGCAACCCCCCGGATGTATTAATTCTTTGTTTCAAATTATGTTTACCGGGCATTCATATGGGTTGAAACAAGTTTTTCTTGTTTTTATCGAAAATGAGTATATTGATCTTTTGTGTATTTATCCAAAGCATACTAATCTTTGTTGGATAAAACTTATAAATGTTTCGATAAATTTTCTTTGTGATCATGTATATAGGAAAGATGTGTATTATTTATATTGATACAAAATATCTTTTTTAGTGGACATATTTTCCTAACCTCTTTGCTTAGAGATTTTTTTTTGTGATTTAAGCATGTTTGTTATTTGAATCATGTATTTGCACAATTATTTTTTTAATGATACTTTATGTTTTTTTTCATCTCTCATTTGGACTCTCTTGGTATCATTTTTATTGCCTTTCTTGGATTCAAGAATTTTCATGAACAAGATTTTGGTTTTCATAAGTATGAACTTATATTTTGTTTTTTATGTATTGAGACATCATTCTCATAATAATGTATTTATATATGTTCTTAATTAATCATAATTTATGGTTTGATAACTTATGAATTTTCTTTTGGATTTATTGATAAATCATTTGATTCTTGATTTTTAATTTTTAAACCTTTGATTTTCATTTTTGGAATTGTTTTTTGTTTTTGATATATATCCTATGTATATTTATTTATGTTTTAGACTCTATTCTTAATGATACATATATGTGGTCACTTGGTCTTCTTTAATATGAGTTGTGTTTATGATATTTTATATCCATACTTACTCATATTTATATGCCTTGCTCATCATTGCATATTTTCTATATGGCGGTTTAATAGGAGTCATCCCTATATCTATTTTTGTTTTTTTCTCATCTGTGCTTATTGATAGAGGGAGCTTTTGCTCTCTTATTCTTTTGTTTTCCCCTTTTTGATCCTATCAAAGGGGGAGAAATGATTTGTTTATTGGTTTATGATGGTTTCATATTTCATTCATGTTTAGATTTTATATATTTTTTATAAATTGTTTGTCATCATCAAAAAGAGGAAGATTATTGGCCCTTTTGTTTTGATGATGATTTGCCAAATAATTTATAGCTAATTTGTTTCCTAGTGATTGTGGCTTGTTTCTTTTTACAGGATATTCATATATGATGAAAAGCCATTCATATCAGAGTTAAAGATTCAAGATCAAGCTGTGTGCACAATCACTTAAGTATATCAGTAGTTTTGTAACGTATATTGTGTGAATATATTTCAAAGTTCAATATATATATACACACACAATTTTTATTTTTATTACAAAATGAGTTTATTTGAGAAAACAATGCAATATTGATTTATTAATCTATTTTACATTACATTCATGTTTTATAACGTTTATAAAAACATTTCATAAAGTTTTCACATGTTCTTACATATCAAACTTCATTTTCAAGATTCATCAAAAACATGTATTATGTACACTTTGCAAAAATAATGATATTTTACAAATGGTAAGTGCAATTCCAAAATTTCTTTTTGTAACATGTTCATATCATGTTTATAAACTTTTCCCAAAGTTTTATATTTTTTAGAATTTATTTACTATTTTTAAAAGAATTTTAAAAATCAGATTTACTGTTTGTTTCTAGCTGATAACTTGTTATCAGACTGATGGATTTTATCAGTTGACTGATGAACTCGTCTGAAAAGTGCTAAAAGTTTCTGTTTCTGCGACTGACGTTCTATCAATCAACTGATGGTCCTTCAGTCAACTGATAAGTTCTTTCGTTCGACCAACGAGCTGCAAACCGCTTACAACGGTCAACTCATCAGTCGACTGATAAACTTTCAACAGCTAGTTTTTTCAGACTTTTGTATTTTTATCTCTTTGCTGGGTTTTCTTAGTTTTTGGGCTTTGATTTTCATCCTATAAATACCCTGCACTATTTTAGTTATGAAGGATATCCAAGAGGGTTTTAACAAGAGTTTTAAAGGGTTTTAAAGTTTGTTTCTTCTCAAGTTTGAGTTTGGTGTTTGTTTACAAAAGAGGGAGCTTACATTGGCAATTGAGGAATTCATCCTCAATCAATTTCATCATCTCCTTTGTGTTTATCGAGAAGTTTTTCTAACTCATTTATCTAACATTTTGTTATTGATTTTTATATTCATATTATTGC